CAATAGCTTGGCTTAGTATTATCGATAGCTTGGCTTATGCTCTATGTTAATATATAAACGTACTTCAGGATCTCTTGCTCGTGTTGACCTCGTACTAATTATATTGATAATAATTAACTCTAAATTATAGAAATAACTATTTAGTTATATGTTGATTGATTCAAGCTTCCGTTTTGATCTTTATAAATTAGTTAGTATTCTCTTTTTTATTGGGGTGGGGTTTACAAATAAACTTAACTTGGGCTACTGCTCTGTTATTTGACGCGGTACTCTAAATTGGTAGTATGTGGACATGCTGTCTAGGCTGACTTAGATTTGAGATGAGGGTGTCGTCTCACGGTGTGACCAGTTAAGTGTTCGTTTCCGGGGCACAATGAGAGGCAGGGTGTTATCGACGGGGCGGTCGCTGTGCGCATGTGCACCGCCGGCGCCCTGGAGTCTCGGGGGCGGGCGCCGTACTAACGCCCGAACTGAGCCACGCCGGTGTCAGTCCACTCGTGGCTTGCTACCGAAGCGAACGATGTGTTTGCTAAAATGAATCACGCGTTTTGCCTTCCCAGTACTCGTTATTATGTAGGGCCCCAAAAAATGCCAAGTGCAAACTGAAATATATCAGGAATAATTGATAACGACTCTCCATGTTTTACGACCTATAAACGTAGGCCTGTACGCTCGAACGTAATTTGGTAAGTGTTCTTAATTTCACCATTCTTATTGTAACGTTAATCTACTTTTTTAACCTTTATTTGTTTTTTTTTTTTACTTCAAATTTCCATATAAAGCTATGATTAATGGTAAGATCATTTGTTAGCCTTTGTGTCTTTTTAATTTTCGTGTTCTTGAAATAATTCGGAACAGCTGTTATAATGATAGATCAAAAATTTGATTTTTTTTTCTTCTCTTTATTAAAAAAACTTTCTTACTTTTATATTATATTCGAAAATATTGTAAATAACCAGATTAGGTGTCCAGTATTTAATGTTTTATTTATTTTTATTGCATTCCACAATGTAAAGTACTGGGCCATTTTTTTAAGCATTTAATATTCTACATTGTGGTGATCACTACTTATTCTCGCTTAAGCTAAACATTTCTTACATAATTTAGTCTTGTTAGTGTAAATTTATAAGAAAAAATACTGCGAAACAAAGAACTCGCCTTGAAATATGTCAAATAACCATGACGGTATGGTTAAACTGTTAATTTATTAAAAGGCTTAAGAGTCGATCACATTCCAATTGTTTTGTGAACTGAAGATTATAAGTATTTTTTATACAGGCCTCAGTCTGAACCTACGCATGGAATTTATTTGCTTTTTTATATGTTTAATTTAGCCTAAAATATTTTATTTGGTTTTAACGGGAATGCTAAAATGTTATTCAAGACTACACTTTCATCACCATCACCAACATTTTATCGTCAGTAAGCAGTTTTATTTATCGTCTGCTAGCCGCCTTATTAGCTTAAAGAGAGTATAAAAGCCCGGCAATGAAATAAGGACAGACGATGACGAATTTTTAATTTTAATTAACAGTTTTTAATTTTACTCGCAAACTATTTTCAATTTTTGTAAATGAGATGCATAATATCATTTATATATTGATAATAATGATATAACTTTTTGGAATCCTTGTATTGAGTTCTTTAATTTGATACGCATATTGTAGTATTTGAAACATTTAAAACGTTATTAATTTCTTTGATTTAAAATCAAGCTGTTTACGAGCTCGCGCTGACGAATCAGTCTATGCCAAGGCGTCGTGTGTGTCATTTTTGCGGAGAAATTCGCGCCGCACCACAATTTATTTTATTTTATTTGATGACATCCGTGGCCGAGTGGTCATAAGCTAGTTTCAAAGGTTGTCTCGCCATTTTTGAGGTTCCGGATTCGATTCTCGTTTGGGTCATTTGGAGATGTCGTACCTTCGTTGTAGGTTGTAGGTAAGTAGATTGGTAGGGCGCTATGGTACAGTCTTTGCATATGCATGCAATGCCTGTGGGTACCCTTAGCACTCCAAAATAAGCATTGGGTCCATCACGCAGTGCGGTTCCAAGTTCCAAGGCCGTTAGGTAGTAGTAGAAATGTCATTAAATTGTATAGTGGCAAATAGTATTAAATAGCATATAAAAAGTACGACTGTAAATTGTCTTCCATAAAAAAGACTTTATTTTTAAGACTGATTTCCATTAATAGGTCTCTACTTGATGGTACTCACCACATCACTAAAAATATGCAAATAGGGTTTAAAATTCATCATTAGCGCCCATGAATATACTTAATGATTGACATGTATAAAGATCCTCAAAATTATCGGTGTGCCTGCTACCTTGATGTATACACGGTGTGCTAGTGCGCATGCGTGAGCTGCGGTTGATACCTGCCATTTTTCTCGATAAGCGAACGCGCGAGCGCGTCTTTAGTCTCGATACGTATTCGTTTGCGGGGACTGAGGGAACTTTTTACCTACAAACGGAGGTAAAAGCTGGCCTTAAATATCTAAATCCGTTCAGCGGTTCTGAAGATATGGGGTAATAAAAAATATTACATACACAGATATAATACAAGATACTCACGAAAAACATAACCCTTCCTTTGCAGTCAGGTAAAAACGAAACAAAATAAAAGAATTTTTAAAATCTATCCAGTTGTTTCAGAGCCTATTCAATTCAAACAAACAATCAAATCTTTCCTCTTTATAATATTAGTATTAAGAAAGTAAACAGGAAAATTACTTACTGTACCTATTCGTTAATTAAGAATGAATATTCTATAATGTAATCGGTAATCACTAATCATTATTTTGATTATACGTTAAGGCTATTTCTGGATTACGATCAAATATGCCTTTGTTCGAATTGCAAATCTACCTCTGTGCTACCACCTGCGGTGTCTTTGACCTCGCTCACCTGCTGCCAGATAATGAGTTGTTATCGTGTCTTACTATACGCATCTAACTTCCATCTAAGTGCCTCTTGAGGTAAAAAATCATAGCTTAGTATTTATAAGAATTGTCGTCCTAAAACGTATGAAACAATAATTATTATGCATTTCCTTTTTGGTCTCTGGCAAATATCGGAATGACCGTCTGCCTATGTCGGAGACCTATTACTGAGACAGTTTACCCGTTTCACTTGTATATTTTATTCTCAAATCTTTAAATATCTATTTAGCTGACAAAGAGGAGAAACATTAGATTCCAACAAAAATTTGCCCTGAGAAGATTTTGCATTCATTTGTCGCTTTACATTATTTTTAAACGACCAAAGCAAAACTATCAACGCGGTTAGATAAATGATATAGAAGAGAATAAAATAATTCTCAATTTATGTCTTAACTTTAATTTTTTCTTTATTAATCTGCGTGATTAAAATAGACACAATAGCAAATTCGAAGTAACCTCTGGCCGGCTTATTTAATAAGTTTATAAGTAATAATATCCACTAGGAATCATTCTTATTATCTCTTGTTTCTTTTTCTAACATACCTGTATTCTAGCTGTGCATCCTCTGGCAAGGCTCAGCTACTGGTAGTTGGCCTGGAAATCTGCCACAATTTATGAGATATCAATGGTATTTTGTGAATGAACAAAACCGTATTATAACAAATTGCCTCCTATCTAAATCGCGGCCAAATAGGCAATAGGCTGACATGGTGAAACTTAAGACTCCTTGTTTACTTCGTTACACTAAAAATTTACATCGATAAGGCGGCCGATATTTGGGATTGATAATAATTTATGGAAAATATAAAGTACTCCTTTCTGATGTACCCAGCCGCGACGAAATTGTGCATAATGATAATTACATAGGTACTTCAAGTGATTAAATTTCGATCATCTACAGCAATCCTCGTATTCTAAACTATCTGTTTTCCCGGTCCTTTTAGGAATTCGGAGGTTTTCCCTCAAAAAATTATCCGCATTGAGCAAGGGGTTCGCTGTGTTAATTAATTTTATTATTTCTTGTTGCGATGATTTTTTTGACTATGACGAATTATTTTATAAAAATATTAATTTCTCATTAATTGACATATAATTATTATCGATAATTAGCGAGACAATTATCTTAATAAATATGCCTTGTTATTATCCTGATAATTATAAAACACTACACAAACTCTTTTTGTACTTTAGGATTAACTAAAATTAAAAGGGAATCATCTTTGAACGATTATAGAATATGGTTATTCTTATACAGAATATTCTCTAGGATAGACCTACAAAACAAAAAAATATTAAAATGTCCCACTTTTTATTAGAAATATTTTAATTTCACTTTTTGTTCAAAGTGATTTGACAGGTATTTTGTTTTGTTAATTTTGTTTGTATATATATTTTTTATAAAAAATTACAAAAATAAAAGTACATTTATAATTAATGTCTTTCTATATTTAAAAAAATATTGCCAGCAACTGTGGATAATTGTCGTTATAATTAGGTATAAAAAATATATTATCTTGATAATTACGAACCCTGATAATTATATTATGTAAGCTTTAACAATTGATGTTATTGTAAAATCTGACATAACAAATGTGACATACATGTCATAACGTGGCCAATTTGAAATGAATAAATAAATGTGTTCTCTTTGGCCATCTGTGTTGTTTAAACTAGTAGACCATGTTTAATGTCATAGTAGACGGTCCCTGTGGTGTCCATATCCTGAAATTGATCCTACTTGTTTCCCGGTTACACGTATTTCTTCCTATAATTGTCGTTCCCACAGTTGATCATTGGACCGTATTTTTTTCTGTTTTTATAATACATAATACGATACGCTTTTAGTGATATTTTATGAAATACTACTTATTTATTTGATTATGCAGTTGCATATTAATCAAATAATAATTTTGATTTTCAAGTCATGACTTAATTTTATTAAAACGTGTACACTTTTCACCCTAATTTTAATGTTATACGAATTATGCATTATGAAGGTAAAATAACTGCTGTAAAACTTACTTATGTATATGCTAACCAAATCAATATTTTCTTTAGATATCACAATGAAGAGGGACGCTTACGCCGACGACGGTCCATCCATGAAAAGGCAACGGCAAACTGACGACGAAGTCACTTTTCTGATTCCGAGTAAGGTAAATACTCAAACATTTACATAAGTCATCACGTGAGAAGTAATCCACGAATGTCTCCCCTTAACTAAATAAGTTTTTTTTTTTTTACATGAGCGTCCTTTTCAAGGTCCAATAAAATAATAGAATCTGCAGCGAAAGTATTTTTTTAATCAATGTATTATTTTAGTTAATTTGATTGAAATATTTTTCTTTCGTAGATTTACTTTTATTTACTTGTGATTTAAACAGGTGGCTGGCTCCATCATCGGAAAAGGTGGCACTAATATTTCAAAATTAAGAAATCAGGTCAGTACTATACATCAACGTTGGTGAATATATTTGGTAACGTGAACAAATACATTAAATTTAGTACTAGTCATCAACCAACTACATCGTTATTGTATCCCGTAGTATAAGTTGATAGATGTATTTTAATGTCTATTTATTCGACAGACCATTAATCTTTCTGCTTTTGTACAATAAAAATGTTTCTAGTTTATAGCCAATATTGTAATGCAGTCTTCAAGGTAGTAGTATTATAATTTATATTCAGTCCACTTATTTAATTGATGAAATTGTCATTTACTTATCTACATGATTTTTTTCGTCACAGGTACGTCAACTTATGTATAAAGTTAGACATTTGAAAACGTACTGCAGTTCCTCCATTAAAATAACAATAAAATAAACTATGTCCGATCAGATCCAGGCTCAAGTATTGTTCGTGACTGTACTTCTTCCATAGTACTAATTATAAGAAAAATACTTGCAATGAAAGTGTATCATCGCTCGTAAGTCTTGTTGGCCAATTCGATCACCGAGTCTCGCACCAGCGGCGAGTCCGTAGGCTGTAGACAATAACCACCCCCCGGCAGCCAGTTACAGGTCTTTTACGCCCCCGAGACGCCTTGTGGCTTGTAGCGCAATGTGACTCGCGTCTCCACACATCACGTCGCCGCCTAGACCATCTTCAACATTTATATATCTTATCGTAAATCGAAACTTGCTATAAGAAGATGGTATGTTGAGTATGGTCGTCCCGGACGGTCGGATAGTGGTGTTTGGAGCCGCGTGTTCCGGCGCTACAGCGTGTTTGGTTGCCGGTCCCGCCCCGCCGGACGCCGCTGCCCCGCACCCGCCGCCCCGCCACGCAGTACAATGCCTCTATTACAGTCCCAGATTGCCCCGGCCCCGAACGGTAAACTATATCGCCAACATCTAATTCTCTCAATTATACAGTCCAGTCGCGCTCTTAATATTCCGTCAACAGTCAGGAGACGGATCGTGTTTGAACTGACAGCTCCCGGCGATAGTCGCCATCCTTTATATCGTGTACCCTTTCCCATCACGTCACTCCGCGAGTTGTGCACTATTGCTACCTTCGACGTCTCTGGTCCTCTTTCTCTACACTTTAGTGTCGTCAAATACATCATTGTTCGCAAGAATTGTTACGTAGGACTCTAATCCTATCATTCGTATTTCCCTCCGAGATGGAGAGTTCCCTAAATTACTTCTCTACTAATATCACGAATTCATCTCCATCATGCTTAAGTTTATTAAAGTTCTGCAAACAGACCTCCCTGACCGTTGATCTAAAATCTGCTGTTCGATATTGTGTTGTGCATTACTATTTTCAATTGACCATAAAATAATTTTCAAATTTTAAACATGTGTCATTTTTCAGGGTATTATCTATAACAGCTGCGGACGTAGAGACGATTTTAGAAATCGTTAAAGCTATTTTGCCGAATTTGGCCGATGTAAGTAAATGTCTTTATTGGCTCTTATTAACTTTAATTATAAAATATTTCACTAACCTCGATTTTTCTGCCCAGGGAGGACCAAGAAGTAGTGGCAATGAAGATTTGGATGTTCGTCTACTGATTCATCAAAGTCGAGCTGGCTGCGTTATCGGCAAGGCTGGTGCGAAGATCAAGGAATTGCGAGAGGTGAGTTTGCTTTATATTAAACAAAGAGTGATTGCAAAAAATGCATCAAGCAGATGTATCTTTTCGACAGAGCGTTCGCAGTCATCTGCCCGGCGTTGTACAGTAATTCGTAAATAAGTTTTTATCATAGGTGCGCGCCACGTGGGGACGGGATGAACCGCAGATGTATAGGCAGCTGTCGTGCCGATCTTCGGGTTTAATCTTCCTATCATATATACTTAAAAAAGCTCTTACGTAAAAACTCTTATATCATTATTTTTTTCATTATTTTCGTTTCCATAGGTTGAGTCAAAAAATTTTTGGTGTGACAATCCAGTCTTAATGCTTATAATAGACTTGTATGATTGTCTTTTATTATACCCATCTTGTTATATAGCTTACCGTTCGTGATAAATAAACCAATTAAGCACTAATGACTGCATAGTGCATGGAAATGCAGATCAATAACCGTTCGTAACTTTGCTCGAAGTGCCGTGCCGTCTAAGTTACGTAGTCTACTTATTGTGTTAAACTTTGACAAATTTGTAATCAATCCCATAGCAACACATCGCCATATATTTGAGTAAGGGATCCTTAAACACTGTCTCATTCTTTCTTTATTCAGTTATACAAAAGTCCCATATATGAATGTGGGTAGTACATATATATTTTCTTTAAAAATAGTATTGCTTCCATTTGATCTGCACAAATATAATAAAACATTTTTTTTTGTCATCGATGCCATCAGCTGTTCGCCTTGTTCGATTTTGAAAAAAAAAAATTAAACTTTATTCGTGGAATTAATGTAAACGTCCTTTTACCTGGACTGAATTTAAAAAATAACAATGAGCATCTACGTCAACTGTGCGAATAAAGCAACAAATAAAATAAATATAGAAAGCAACAATTACAAGTGTTCAAGGGTTTTACATGTTTTTGTAACATTGTATTGGAGAAATACACAAATAAAAATAACATACGGTAAAGCCGTTTTTCTTTGTAGCTTCAATTTCATCAATATTATCATTTATAAATTCGTGCTATATATAGTACGTATTTTCTCATTAAAAGCATGTGCACAATTCGATAGCTACCAATATGAACGAACTCGCAAATGAGCGTTATTCTAACGTTTAATATACACTAAAATATATTAGACATGTGTTTTGAATATTTTAAATCTAAAAAATTAAAAAATACTATAATTGAAAAAGGCGTGAAATTATAGATAGTTATTTTTAATAAAGTCAATCCACAAGTGATATTAACAAATAATCATTATGAACTTAAACTTAATATAGATATAAGAAAAATTGACTTGAAACCTCTGTTGTACTGACAGCTAAAATTTTAACTGCACCCTAACGGTGTGCTAACGGTGCTGAAATAGCAGTTTTAAGATGCAAGTATACACCTGTAGCAGATATTTGTGCAGTCGTAATCCTTGAGCGAGAGCGTTGTCATGTTGCGTTAGAAAGACGTGGCATATCTCGTATATGCATGTTGTATCTGAGCAAGTTAAGTGATGGTGGCGAGTGGAACGGCGCGTGCTGCGCGGGCGGCAGCTGGCGGCGGCAGGTGCGCGCGCAGCCGCCGGAAGGCGCACAAAAAGCGCGCGCGCACCTGGGTCTCACCCAGCCTACCTACTTGCACAATGCCACAAGACCGAGGGCTTCTCTTTCTTATATAAATAGAAATTTCGAACATATGGCTCCGTGCGCCGACTCCCTTTGATTATAACGTCGCCGAGTCGCGCTATCGAGTTAAAGAAATATCCGGTTGACTTGAATCTGTGTTGAAAAATGCGGACCCCTAACCTTTATAGATTTTGTAATATTATGTTCAACATAATTTTATTAGAAACGTTTTCTTATTGATCGAATTTATTATGAATAAAATTTCTAATGAATTACTTCAATGCTCGTAAAATTGACATAAGTGTACTTTATAGGAGTAATAAAACATCAAAGCATAACATTGGAGACCAATTGGTTCAGTGCAAACATATCTATACATAATATTATTGGTTAGCCGTTTTTAATTGATTCAATATTTTGCGTTATTGATTTTTTGTACTGTTTATTAATTAACGACAGCATAATAGTTATCTAGTCCGTGCAAACAACGTACGTATCAGTAGAGGTCGGTAACAAATAATGGTAGTGCGTGCAGGTAGGTGATTCGTTATTGCCTGAGGGAAAGCTCGCTTTACAGAGGTAAAGGGATGTACAATATTCTGCATCCGTCGGAAGAGCGACTCGACATCGGCGTCGCCCGTCGCGGCCCTACTAGTGATAGTAGGTAACCACGTGATGTGGGAACTTTTTTTGGACCTTGTTTCCTTTTATATCGTAAAAAACGAAGCAGATGTACACAAAATAAAAAAGAAACTGACGTCAAATTATTTTTTAAAAGGAACTATGGTAAAACTGTTTCCATCGTACACGATTCGAAGCGGTTACGACCCTCACCTTTTAAAACCTCTTTTGGCTGTCACTGGCTAATAACGATGGATTTGCTTGTTCGCTATATTTTTTTCCTCATTAACTACCTGCCTGGCTCAATGGATCTCGCATTTTTTATCTAACTGTAGATTATTCTTATGTGCCCTTTTCGAATTATTTCGTTCGTATTTTCGTAGTTAGGGTGACATTCCTTCTACCTTAACTATGAAAAGACTTTTTCCGATGAAAAATCTCAATTCACAAACATAGTTTACGATTTTGTTAATCAGGAAACGCCAATTTATAAAACAAATTGTGACAGCAGTTGTTTTACTTTGAAATTCGTTGATACATATGTCGTTTGTCAGCACAGCAACGGTGACACTGGCAATTAGATTGCACGCGAGCGTCACCGCTTCCGCTTCCGAACCACAAAACGCGGTATGGCTTCCCAACACTAAACTGGCCGACTATCGACCACGCCTGTCTGGCCGGCTAGCTATGTTGACTACTGCAGGCTAGATGACAAAGGCAGTGTTAGTTCGTGCGTCATAATTAAAACGACAATTAAAACCCTGTACTCGTTGGAGTGAGGTATAAAATGTTTTCAAAATATATAAATAATAGATCTCTAACAAGAGTCGTTGAAATTGAAAAGGAAAATTACACTAATAGTTAAATATCCCATCCAAACATTAAGGCAGGTGCATTGTATTCCAAGCTCAATATTTTTTTTTTATATATTCAATATATTATTAATCATAGTGTAACTTCTGATCACACAATCCTTTCAAGTATTAATTTAGTTATTCTTCTTTATATACATTTACAAAAGTTACTTCCGCTAGAAGAGTATTACCATTACAAGCGATGTGCACGGTCCACGGCTGACAGATGGTGCGAAGGTGACTACGGTACGGAGGCGTCCGCGGAGCCCCACAAGTGCAGGGCGCGGGCGACGGACGGGCGGCAGGTGGTGCAAGCAAGCCGCACCACCGCGTTATATCGCTCATTCCATGTTCAACCGACCTAAGGGGCGGTCGCTCCCTCCGCGTATTATTATTAATAATATACTTTCAATACTAATTTCAATAAAAGAAAAGTGAATTAATTTAATAATAGTCGTAATGAAAGTTTAATTTTGAAAATTATTCGTGAATATCGTCGGTCGGTGTACGAAATGTGTGCGGTGTCGGTAAATCGGTGTCAGTGTCCTGTAAGCAACCGGCGCGGTGGTGGCGGCGGCGGCGGCGGCGGCTGGCATCGTTGTTTGTGCGTGGCGCGGCACGTGCGCGGGTCGATGGGCCGGCGCATGCGTCCTAACAAACGTCACAGCCAGATACACCCCACGGGTGACGTTGGCGACCTTAACGTATATAAGTAATTGTCCACACATCGATCTCTCGCCACCAACTGTACCATCAGCCCGCCCACCACGATGACTACATTGCCAGTACCAAATCCAAACCCTGGTAAAATAACATTAATAGTACTGTAGGCCCACTCGGATGATCTCAGTGTTTCCATGGTCCACACGGTTAAAACTAGTAACTACAAAACAGCTGAGCTTACTACAGTTGTAGGATATTAATGTTCAAATTATTCACGTAGATAGCTGTGCCGTCGGATGATAATCACGTCTCGGCGAGATTGATGGACAAAAAGAAACTGTTAATAGACTTTAATAAAGAAAATAAAATAAGTTATATATTTTGAATTGCCATCATCAAATTTTCTATTTTATTTCCGTGAATGGATTAACTTCGATCCATTTAGAATACTAGACATATAAGTTATCAATCGAGCTAGAAGAAATTTAAAATACTTGGTAGTGAATATTTATTAAATGAATAAATCTAAGTTAAATATGAAATAATTAACAAATAAACGTTTATAAAAAGAATGCAATTTCGTATGACCAATCGTATATTTAATTTCATAAATAATATTTAATTTTATTTTGTTACTGGATTCTATACCGGAAAAGTAAGCTTTTAAGCTAAATAAGATTTAATTAAGGTAGGGTGACCATACCCACTGAGCACGGCCGGACCGAATGCATCGTTGAATAAACAGTGTAATTTGATGTGGCAAAATGTTCATATAAATCGGTGTAATTACTTTTTAATTTTTTTAGACCAATTAAATCTTACTTAAAATCATTTCTCTTTGTTTTAGATCGCGTATATAGCTCGGTCCAGTAATTTCGGAGCCTATTAATATACTCAATAAAAACAAACAAATATTCAAAACTTTGCTCTCAATAACCTTTTCAGGTCATACGGCTCATTAAAAATAAATATATGAATCAATTTAATCAAATCCAGCCCAAAATATATGTCTCTTTCCAAATAAAGCTGTGGATCGCTTTTCCGTTATCTGAAAAAATTATCTGATTATCTAATGAGACTCACGATTACAGTTAACAATTACCATGTATACCTTCTATTTTCATCATCCTATGTTTTTTTTTTTAAGATTTTGTTGGTGTACGCATTAATTATTTTTAATCTATTAAGTTGTATGTCGTACTTTGGAATTTGCATCAACATATATCACACCGACCTATTTAATTTAGTAATTAGCTTTAATATCACTAATTATGGCTTCAATTTAATTAAGACATTTTAATAGATAATTTTTGCCCAAACTAGGTCGATGATTCGAAGCGATAACGTTTAAAAAATATAAGAATAAGCTAAATGATAACTTTATTATTTTATAAATAAATAGTTTACTAATATCTGAGAAATAATGTAGAAGTGACGTCAGGCCTTGTTACAATAGCGAAAAACGTATGGGCAATTTTTGTAATATAGTTTCCCTACTTTTTGGAAATTTTCAAAGTGTAAAATTTTCCAAATTATTGTAAATAAAATTTATTTTTATAATATTTATAAAGTTAAAATGATTCGTATTTTCCGAACATATAAGGATGGGGGGGAAGTCTTCGCGTATAGTATGCATAAACTTATAATACAATCTTTCTTGCTATTCTATTATTATCATTAAAAAGTTTGAAATTTAAAGAAGATAACTCCGTATTCAAATAAGGAAAAGTGAGATTTTCATTTGTTTTTCTTACTGTCTGAGTAAATCTGAAATCTGAAAAAATGCAAAGTGCAACGCAAGCTCCGAAAATTTTTGTGACGTTTATGGACCTAGTGCAGTTTCTGTGAGAGTAGTACAAATTTGGTTCAAGCGTTTTCATTCCGGAAATTTTGATGTTAAGGATGCACGTCGCTCCGGTCGTCCAGTTACCGATAAAACGGATGCCATTTTTGAAAAGGTCGTGTTCAAAGGTCGGTCAGGCTTCACAGACTGTGGCGAAACCCGGGTTAACTCGCATCAAGGTGATGCTGTCTCTATGGTGGGATGGGAAGAGCATTATTCACTAGGAGCGTTAATGCATCTGTCCTGTAGTCCTGACCTTGCACCATCAGGTTTCCACCTGTTTCGATCACTTCAGAATTCTTAAGACAGTGTCAGGTTAACATCACGCGAGGACTGTCAAAACCACTTGTCTCGGTTTATTGATCAGAAGCCCCAAAATTTCTATAGCAATGAGATGATGTACACCTACAAGATAGTAAAAAGTTGTCGAAGAAAATGGTACCTACATAATTTAGTTAAATGTAAATAAAATTTATCAAAAAATGTTTTGAATATTTCTATATAAAACCCGACGAAGCTTTTCCCTCAACCTATTATAACAGAAACCTGTATTTTCTTTTGTAGGACACAACCCTAGTCCTATTCATTGACGTATCATTCTGTTTTATATTTCCATGGGTGCATTTGTATTTAAAGTGAAACATGTTTGATCAGAAAACCGGTGCGCGACTGAAGATATTTTCTAGTCCGGCGCCGCAGAGCTCTGAGCGGGTGGTGCAGCTGGTGGGCAAGGCTGACGCGGTCGCGGCCGGTATTCGCGAGGTGCTCGACCTCATACGACAGGTGCGTGATACTAGTGCACACGAACACTTCATAAGATCTTATTTATAATTCATACATATAATAAAACTGGGGAGGGAAGAATTCTGTACATTAAAAATATTTTAAAAGATGTAGTGGATATGATTATGTGGTCGATGTTGATGATTTCCCTTTTGTTTGTATGTTCGTGATAAACTCAAAAACGATGGAAGGTATTTATTATGAAAATGGATATAGTTTTTGTTTGAGCACCTGGGCTGGTTATAGGATACTTTTAATCCCGAAATATTACGGCTTCCCGCGGTATAACAAAAATAATCAGCAGGGATCAAATTTTCCTCATATTGTTTGTGATTTGTACATCTATTCGCATAATAATTTTTTTCTTAGAATTTCATATGAAAATATGTCGAGGTATTTTTTGTGGGTATTGTGTATAGTCAAGAATATTTTCCTTTTAGTTTTTTTTTTATTTCTTATTTGAGTTCTCTATGCTCGTATTTCGCTGACGGCGTCGATGCTCGCTACCCGTCGTTACGTAGTTTTGTTGAATTTTCCAGGTGCCGATCAAAGGTTCGATCCAGAATTACGATCCGCATAATTACGATGATTTCTACGCGGACGAGTACGGTGGTTTCGGTGGGGGGCAGGGGGGAGGTGGAAGCAGTGGTGGACGAGCGGGCCCGCGGGGCGCTCCACCACGTGGCGGCGCACCAGGGCGTGGGCCTCCAATGGGGCCAGGCAGAGGACCTCGGGGCCCTCCCATGAACCGCGGCCCGCCGGGGCCCAGGGCAGGGTTCAACGACTTCGGTGGTCCGGGTGGGCCTGGACCGCGCGGATTCAACGGCCCCCCTCGTGGCAACTTCGGAGGCGGCGGCGGCAACTTTGGTGGTGGCGGTGGCAACTTTGGCCGCGGCGAAGGCGGCGGCCGCGGTAACTCCTCCGGCAATTTCAGTAGCAATGGTGGTGGCCAACAGGACACCACTACACAAGTTACCATACCGATTGATGTAAGTATATCTAGTCAATCAATTCGCTTATTATTAGGTTATATTCTAGATATTTTCAATTTTTATAATATTTTAGTAAAAAAAATATACATAATTACAGAAACATTACTATTATAATATCTCTTGGAATTTCTCGATGAAACATTGCTCTGAAAAATAGTATAGTACAGAACTAAAAATGTTATTATACCGATCTTATTAATACAATCTTATTTTAAAATGTATATTAATTTTCCAGCTCGCCGGCGCCATAATCGGTCAAGGCGGATCGCGGATCCGTAAGATCCGCGCGGAGAGTGGAGCCCGCATAGAGATCGCGGAGCCCCTGCCCGGATCCAACGATCGTATCATTACCATCACTGGCACGCAACAACGCATACAGATGGCACAGTACTTGCTGCAACAAAGGTTTGTCTAAATATCTATTACTAGCTGTTTTCCCGTGACTTCGCCCGCGTTAAATCAAAGTCAAATTATCATTATTCAAATACACTACTTTGAATCGTCCAATATTTTTTTCCTGAATCTATTGTCACCCCGTATATAATGTCGCTTTACGTAGGTGAAAGAATTTTTAAAATTGATATAGTAGTTTCAGATTCTATTCATTGCAAACAAAGAAACAATTAAGTCTTTCCACTTTATGATATTAGTATAGATATTTTATTTTCTTCTCAGTATTTCCAACATAATCTCCACTACTAAAGTATCTTTTTTGTATAATATTGAAAAATAATTAGATTAGCAGCGTTTCTGAATGATTTTTCATGTGGTGTTAGTAGTTCTTGTTATATCACTGGCTTTAACGCATGCCTTTGTTGTTAAAATATTATCGCGATTTTATCTACACTTATCTTACATTTGCTGTATCGATTTTCTGCCAACGGGGTACACTAATTATATTGTACCATTAACATATAATGAAACTGCAAAACAACTTGTTAAACTATTGATGGACAAACAAATCAGGCCACATCTATTTTTATTATAAACAATTTTTCTATTGTTTAATTCCTTTATTCATATTTTTTAATAATTTAAAAATTAACACACATTCAATAAAAAGGGGTAAATTGTTTTTATTTTGAATCAAAGTCATGACACGCGGTTTGGTAAAGTCTTAATTTTATTCTACACCAACTGGTTACTTTTAACAAGAGTTTGTATATAATTGTTAGCTCGCATATTTATCAATTTTCTTTTTAAGAAAAATTAGTTTTATTTATTTTTTAAATTACCAGAAAAGGTTTTAGTTTTACAGATGTATCTATTTTTTTTATATATTTTATTGGGAATAGCAACGATATTAAGATTTATAGGTTTTAAATTCGTATTTGTTTCTTAATTCGTGTAAACAATCGTTAACGTATTAATGATACACGATAAATTTATACTCTATTGTAATTAGCTGATAGTCATGATTAAATTGTATGATTTTTTGTTTTAACGTCGCTTCAACGAAATTACAAAAACTTGTCATTGTTTTTTAAACTCTAACTCGTAAATTCGCAAAGGTCACTCACCAATGCATCCTTTTTTTGGCAATTAAATGAAATTGCACAGCATATCGAAGAAGTTTTATCAACTCCGAAATATAGCTTATTTGTGTTCTATAGATTGAATATCTATAAATATGTATTTCAATGTTTTGTTGAATTTATTTACAAAAACATCATTAAAATATAACACTACTAAAATACGGCTTGTTGGATTATCAACATAAAAGCATGTACATACATACCTCGACGAAATAATGCATACCCTGCTAAACTAATTGTTTTACTTTTGTTCACTGGATGTGGTATATTAATTATTTACCTTGCCGTTGTCGCCTTACTAACACACCATTATTCTGACGATAGAATGTTTCAAGAGTTCCCCGCTTTGGCCCCAAACAAAACTAAGGTTTAAAATAAACATAAGAATTGGTCGAGGATAACGTAATGAACAGGTAACATACAAACGAATGTTGGTAGTTATTGTGTGTATTTTCTTATCTGACTCTCGTCTAAAGGGCCTATGATATATTAACATTTATGAGATATTGATTAGTTAGTAGGATAGAAGCATATTTAATTAGTTTATAGATATATGTAATATTACTCAGGTTTCCATACATAACCAGATGTTTCAAATTTAGCAATTGGATACTTGACTGTTTCGGGAAAAGCATTTAAATTTTGTCATATACATATTAAACCACTATCAGATAAATTTATTAATGATAAAAGATTTTCTTCGTTAATTTAATTTGCCCCGCGAAAACTATCACCCACGTGACTTCGAGCCGTGACGTCACATTTCAATAAACATGGTTACATACTGGTACAAAACATACTATATAGTTATTATTTACGTACTTACAAGCTATCGTTTACCACATATTTAATTCAAAATTTATGTTTATAACTGTCAAGTAGCCAATTAGGACTTATTTATTATCATTGTTTAAATATAATATCCACTATGAATATATACACATAATGTCCATTAGTTTGAAATAGCTGGTCTTTCATTGTGACTAATAACTATTTGGTGAATAACAATAACATTTCTAGGTGTCAATCAACTAACGGGCGTCGGGTGTTTGCGGTGCGTTGTATGGAAGACTAGTGATTTTGTTGTTTTGATTGATTAACAAGGAATCACTAATCTGCCTACAAAGTACTTGCGCTCACTTCAGTTCAAGAATCTTCCTCATGCTGCTCTTTGTATCTGTCTCTACTAACTTGTATAACCTTTCTGTGATGTTATTATTCATTGTTCATTTGTTGTTTATTTCATGATTAAAAATATATTTATTTTATTATTAACATTTAATACCTTTCAAGCATTTTTCTTTTTCTTTTACAGTGTTCACGAGAGCAACTTGAATCACGGCCGCGGCAACTTCTGATTCCGATAGCCAGTTTAATAAAATATTTTTACTCCGAAGCTTTATTTAGTAGTCTCCAAACTCCAGAATCATTGTAATAGTGAGGCTCATTACATGTAAAATTTTGTTAATAAATTTGTATCAAATTAATATTTTTACTTTATAAATTATCTTAACATGTGAAGATAATTTTTAAAATGGCTATGAAGAATATACTCTCGAGCTATTGCTAGTGCAATGTACTTTGAAAACAAAAATCTGTTGTAGTATAAAAACTACATTTTATTTACATTTTATACAATCGTCCCATGAAATAAGATCTTTTGGCAACAGAAATAACCTCGTACAAAATATGTGTATGTGACTATCTTTTATTTTAGAGAATGCGATCAGGATCAGTTTGTACCTTTATTACAAAAAATAACATAGTTTACTGGCCTAATGTCGCATTGAAACTGATGCATTTAACATTATGAATTATGAAAGATGTGTAAGAATGGTGTGATTTTCTCATTATTTGTTACATCGATGTATTTTTAAGTAAATAGAAAATAAAAATACAAATAAATAGTTTATTTTGTGAAAACATTTGTCGTTTAATTTTTGAGGTAGGTAAGTGCTGCTGCGCCATAAGTTGGATTTTTTTCTAGTTCACTTTTTGTAAATGTTAAGAAATTTTAGTTTGAATCATTGAGCATGAATATGTAAAACATTTAATCCTGCGAGTATTCACCACCAAGGCCGATTTTTCTAATCATATCTGGTTTTTGGACCCTAAACCTATCAAGGGACTCCTTTACCTCTGGATAAAAAAGACTGCCCATAGAAAATTTGCCCCCATCACAAAATAGCTATTAATCTATGGAGACTATCACCTATTTATTTGTGATTTTGTTTAAAGTGAAATATTTGAATCTTAATATTTGTATCCATTTTAAAATGACATCAAATCGTTATATTTTGATAAAAAATAGGATATTATCAGATATAGCTAGAAGAATTAGAAAATATTTGTCGTCCGAAAATAATATGGTCGACAATAATGAATAAAAGGCGATTGTGGAAACTGATACAACTCAATCTACGGCTGAATTATCAGCAGCTTTCGACGTAAGCATCAAAACAATATCGGTCCATTTTCGTCAAATTGGCAAGGTAAAAAAAGCTTGACAAACGGGTACCCAACGAACTCAATGATCGCCAGTGCGAAGTACGCGTAGAGACGTTACTTGTGATGAGAAATGGATCCTGTTCGACGTAAGCGCTCAGCAACCCTGGTTCTGCACCCAAACAATGCCCTAAACGGAAACGTCTCCAAGCTACAAGAGCTGGAGTTGGAAGTTCTCCGTCATCCGCCGTACTCACCAGACCCTACCCACTGGCAATTTTTTCCAGAATAATTTTTGGCGGGAAAAAATTCAATACCCGAGAGGCAGTACAAAATGTCTTTGAAGAATTTGATGCCTCCCATCCAGCTGTTTTCTTCAAGACTGGCATCAATAAGTTATCAAAGCGTTGCATTGATTGCATGAGTGATTAGTAACGATTACTTTGATTAATAGAAATAAAAAATATAAAAAAAAATGCTTCATTTATTTTATGAAAAACTGCAATTTCATAGGTAAATCCTAATATAATATCCTTAATTATTTTAAATATTGGATGTAGCTGGGAACTGGATAATCTCATGATTTTTAAGATATACTTAGTAATTAAACAAACAGATATATCCAAGAGGGAGGTGCAGCCAGACTGAAGGACACAATACAAAATTCTACCAGAAGTCTAGCCTGGTGAAACAAAAACAAATAATAATATAAAGACTTTATTCAAAAGAATCACATTCTTTTCACTTAGTAAGATAACTTATATAAATTTGATTTAAAATACCACCTCAACTTAAAGCTCTTCAGTCAAATAGAGTATCTATCATAATTGATGATCTATCATATTAAAAGATGAATTAGGAGACTGAGTAGAATTTATGTGTTCATGTATTGGTCTCTGTAAATAAAACAATATATACACAATAGGTATCACAACACCCAACACAAGCATACAGCACACAAGATGAAACCATTTCAGTCCAAGATCTGCTCCATGCGATGTCAGCTCTTTGACAACAACAGCTTCCACTGATATTTTTTGTTTATTTGGTAAAAGCTGGGTGTCTTCTGACACAGCCTCCATCACTTCAGAATCAGTGTAAGGCACAAATGAAGGTGACACTGTGCTGTTCATAATAACTGAATTGCAATCAATTGCACAATCACTATTATTAATACTAGATTCATAATTTCCAACACTAATTTGTTTTACACTTTGGCTGCTACTTGTTAATGGTTCCTGCAATGTATCATTTACTTGTATAAGAGCTGTTGATGTTGATGGTATAGGTTCAAAACCAGGCTTTGTACTTGGCAATCTTTCCGTCAAAACTGAGTAAGGAGTGACTGGTATTTTAACTGTTCTTCTTGCAAATATTTCATTGTCCTTATGGATGTGATTTATTCGTTTCAATTCTGCAATCTACAATAATTGACATTATATAAATATGTTCTCAATATCACTTACTACATCTCTTTAGGTAAATTTGAATACTTACAGAACAATAGAATCTCAAGGCGATAGCCTGCAATGTATCTCCTTCTTGTACTTGAGCTTCAATATAATGTTCTTGTGGTTTCATCTTATGAAGTTGAATATCACTAGAATCATCGCCAACTTTATTGTTACCCAAATGTGCGAATAAGTCATCACCTCCGTGCATAACGTGGGTTCTGAAACACAAAAATGACTTAAGTACACGTAAACAATAACTTAACTGTTCATTACGCATAGTTTTGCTTACCTTTGTTTCATTTTTTAAATCTATACTACTGCTAGTAATATCTAACATGACCTGATAAAAAGATAATTATTCTACCTGATTTAATTAAATCCAAACGTTTACATTACAAATTAAAGAACAGCTGTTGGATTGAAATGAACTAAAAACAAAGTTTCAAGCAAAATCCGAAAGAACAAAAATTTCTGATGACAAATTGACAATGACAGTTTTGACATTTAGAGTTTTTTTTTTAAGTAATAGGAGAATGTTATTTTATACTTTATTCCGAAAAATTCTAACCACTATTATGAAAATTTACCAGAAAAATGCCCCAAATTAGAGAATTAACATTTGACTAAAAAAATCTATGTTCTAGAACAACTCATACATGGAGTAATGTTTTATTTACCAATATTTTGTACATTTTTGAGTCGCACCAGCGCATCATAATATCTCTAATGATATGCTGATTCGATTATTATACACATCTATAAATCGATTACAATTTACTCATTATTGATTAAAAATCGATTCATGTCAATGATTATTAAATATTTTTACCCCAAAAGTTTATTAATGATTTCAGATTAATTCCACGGTATTTGAAAGCCATCCAAATTAATGAAAAATAGTTTAAAATCAATTTTAAGACAAATTTACTATACCAGCATTGTGCATGCAAAATTTATAGAATTAAACTACATAGCTATACCCGCGATTTCGTCCGCTTGGAAAGTAGCCTAGCTAATTCTTTATTACATATAGAGATGGACGTTTAAACGAAAAGCACTTAATTAAGCGTGCTTTTCTTAAAAAGTGCAAAAGCGCTTTTTCATTTAGAAGAAAAGTATGCTAATGCTTATTGTACGTCCCGCCATCTATCAGGATATAACTACTGACTTCAATCAATTTTTCTGTTTCGGCATTTTTCTATTAGAGGGTAGCACTTTACACAAATGCACTGTATTATACTATTACGCGTGATATCCATCTATACTTTTAGTAACAACTTTTTTGGTTGGTTAATCCAAACGCTTTTTTAAACGGAACAGAACTTATACTTAAAAAAGCAGTACACTTTTCGTTGTTGATACTACAACACGTTGTATTGAATGTTAATTAATTGCGTAAGTTGAATTGTATGCGTAAATAAATTGCTACTTAAGAATGACTTTTGTTTATTCTTAAATAAACAATGTAAATAAGTTTTGTTATGAGATGATAGTGTGTATTGGTGTGTATATAAAACATTCTAAATATTATTGAATTGCATTTAGTTTTAAGATGGCGTAAATAAAATGTCAAGAAACGGTAATAGTGTTGTGGTCTTGTATTATACATAAAAAACTATTATTGAATCACCCTATCTATGAAAAAAACCGCATCAAAATCCGTTGCGTAGTTTTAAAGATTTAAGCATACTAAGGGATAAAGGGACAGAAAAGTGAGTTTGGTTTATACTATGTAATGATAACACAACGTTGCACGCTTATTATAACGATTTCCAAATGTCAGTTGAAAAGAAAAGCGTTTAAGCAATAAGCAGTTTTAAAAAAAACCTGTGATGTACATGATGAAAAAGTGATGTGCACAAACTTAACACGAGAAATAAAAACAAGCTAGTAATGCCTTCTTATAGGTTACAGAAGGTTCTTTAATGGGTCAAGGTATACAGTACTTTAACAAGATTCCCAGTGATGTATTAGATTTGCCAGTAAATCATTTTAAAAGTTATCTTAAAAATTGTCTACAAAGTAAAGGATATTATACCGTTAAGGAATATCTAAATGACAAAAAGGCGTGGTGTTCGATATTTAAACTTTATTGTATGGAAAGTGACTTCATATTGTAATGAAACAGAGAGAAAAAAACAGCCCTTGCTGAGTTTCTTGCCGGTTCTTCTCAATAAAAGGTCTCCCGCCGTAGTTTTGCGAATCGATGGCGTAGTTTTCGACTTTCACAAGTGCTCTGTAAAAGCCTAAACTGAATAAATAAAATTTGATTTGATTTGAAACCTTTACCTCCACCAAGATTAGATAAGCTGAATAAACTTATGGGATTGCAAAATCGATAACACGATTAATGGTAATCGATTCGGCACACCATTAAATATCACTATAAAAGTTATTGCCAGAACTATTATGTATTTTTTCACCGCTTTTTTAAATTTGCGTTTCGTCTCGCGCTATGCGATGACGTCACATCGCGACACGAGCGTTCGATTCGACTGCAGGTAATACGGAGTATTATTGTTTAAATGGCTAAAATTTGATTGGTAGAGTGGTTTACATATAATATTTGAATTGTTTGTTATTGTG